TGTTTCGCTTCTCTAAACTTGACCTTCATGAACATACAGGCCAAGATCATGTGTCTGTGAGTTCAGAAATGTGCAGAAGTATCACATGAAATGAATTGTTTTGTTTATTGCTTTATTCAGGCTCCTAGCTACATTTTTTCTGGAAAAATTGGCCCGTATATGTTGCAAAGGCTGGCAGAACAAGAGATTTGGCATAACAACATAGCATGTCTGCCATGTGTTAGAAACTATGTGGTGATGCAGCCCTTCCAAAATGATTTGCCTTGACTAATAAATATTGAAAGGGCTGAAATATGGATTCAGGCCTTGATCATACACCAGTTTTTCTGTGTTCAGTGTTATGTAATGAGAGTAGTTCTGTTGACTCTGAGACTATGTAAAATGCATAGAATTAAGTATATGAGAGTTTGAGCAAGATTGGGCCCTGAAAATGTAGTATATGCCAGGGAGATTTGGTGTCTTGCATTACTCTCACTAATTTCAGTGACATCATACAGTTTATATTTGAAAGTATCATATCTTCCAGTAGTCAGGGTTTTTTTTATATATTCAGCAAAATTAAATATTTTGAGGGGAAATTACATTGAATACCTATGAATATTTTCACTTACCAGCCTTTAAAAAAAATATTGGGTGAACAGAAAGGTACAGTGCTGGATTTGTTAATAACATTTAGATATAATGCCAAGACCTGTCCAGAAATCAATATACTGCAGAACAATGTGATATGAATGAACGTAAGCATGTTGCAAAGCAAATTAGTAGGTTTTGCCTAATAGCCTCGGGGTGACTGGTGTCTCCTGATTCTGGGCGGGCACAATTTGTGGGTGAACCTGGGAGAGGGCCAAAAGCCCCATATCCACTCCTATACTTCTGTGCCGTGGCTTAGAGGCCCCCCCCATGCCACATGCCACTGGCCCACGTGGCAAAAAAACTGCCCCTCCCTGAGCGGTGCCAAGTTGGGGGCCAATCTCAGGGGAGGCATGTGCCCCCCCATGCTCCCTCTACCAGTCACCTGTGAATAGCCTCATCTTCATTTTTATAAATTTAAAAGAAATAACATTAAATTGACAAATTTTCTCTTGTTTTGTGTCCATTTATTTAATTTTAATCTCAGTCATACTTAGTTTTGTATCACTAGAAAAATACTTACACAATCCAAAAGATGCATGTGAAACTGTTCTTATTTATGCTATGAGGCTAATAAAAAAACAGATTTTTTTTGGATATGCAAGTATGTATCCACATAACTGGGACAACATTTGCAAATAGTATACCAATGTATTGACATATGCAGTACTCTAGGCTTCGGTCTTGCCATTGTTTCTCTGAAAGAAATCTCCAGGAAGAGCCTCACTGATGAAGGAAGGTCCATTAGTAGCATTTCGTTTTTTTAAGCAGCAGAAAAAATGAAAATATGCATGTGCAGAAAAGATGCTATGGGAAAATAGAAGAATTTTCTTGAGAAGTAAAAGTGGAAACCCATGTGCTATACTTTCACTTGTCATTCTTCTTGATGTATCTAGTGTAGTCATATTTATCATACCAATACTTGTTACAAATATTGTTTTACATTTTTGGCTTACCTTTAATTTTATAGAGAAAATGAGAAAAATAATTTTATGCCTATTGGATGGTCTTTTTTTTTTTTAAAACAGAAAACATGGTTATTTTGTTTTTAGCTTTACTTAACTACTTCCAAGACTAGTGACTTGACAAATGGACAGGACAATCTATAATAATGTGAGTTACGAGCAGGGATCCTGGTTTTCTCTGATAACCACCCCCCAATCTTCAGATGTAAAAAAGTAACCTAAAATCCACATTTGTACATGATTCAAATGAAACACCACTCATAAATATAATTTCATTTTAATTACAAGAAAATGTGGATTTTGGGTAACTTTTTTAATCCTGAATTTGGAGATTTTTTTTTAATCGGCGAAAACCAGGAGCCCTGGTTATGAGAAATGTATACTGAATGAATAGAGTGCTGAAGTTGATGGGCTCAAGGGAAATTCCTAGTGTCCGCTGTTTAAAACTATTCTCAGTCTTCTCAGTTCAAGTGATGGTATTTTGATGGATTAAATCCAGTGCTGCTTTAGAGTCAAATATTCTTTTGGTGGAGACATGTGGAGACATACTGCTAAACTGCCTACACGAATGCTTAAAGGCATTAGTGGTGGCAATTGACTAGCGATTTCTTTATCTGGTCTAAAGGTCATGGTAGTTTTTTCCTATTAGATGTTGTGTTACTTTGTGCTGCACTCAGAGAATCAATGCTGAAAAAACTAACCACTATCTGTTGATAGACAAGGAAACTGACTGGTCAGTTACAGCTAGCAAGTAGTCTTACATAACATGTTTGACAGGGGATACATCTCAACTTTGTGTGCTCTGGGATTATAGATTTAGTCTCATCTATCAAATTAGTATGGGTTAGACAGTTACTAATAGACAGTCATCAAGGGTGCTTCAAGGGGTACTTGTCTCTGGCATTATAGTTAACTATTAATGGACTGAGTTCTTTGACTTCTTTGTGCCTTTGGGAGGCGCTGGTGGAAGCCATCAGAGAAAGCGAATAGAAACTAATCAGTTCGTCCCCTCGTATATGTTTACTGAAAAACTGCAGACTTCTTTTACTGACCTCAGTGTCATGCTGAAAAAGACCCTCCAATTTTTCTTTAAAATAAACCTGTCTCCTTCCTCTTCCTCTTCCCCCAAAACGTAGTGTATGAGAAAGTGGGATTAAATGGAATTACCTAGCAGCTGTGCTAATTGTCACAAGTTGTATTTTCTTTCCCACTTTAGCACAACAATATTAGTTGTTTAGGGGAGGAAAAAAAGAGTTGACAAAGGAGTGCGACTCTCAGTTGCACGTCTCCTAGGTACTGAGTGTCAAGATCCCTACTGCACGTTTCTTGAAGCTGCTGCAGTCCTAGATGAAGAAGATTTATTAATAAGGGTAGCACCGGCACTTGTAATAAATAATGCATCATTTTTATTTAACAGGAAAACTGCCCTGTTGATTAGGCCCCATTAAGCTTTACCAGTCATATTACAAACAAGAGAACAGCAGCAGCTTTTTCTGTGCTGCCAAGGTGGGTCCATCTAGGACAGTTACAGGACTGGCAAGGGACATCTTGGTATGGTTGTCATTTCCAAATAGGTTCATAGAATTAAAATGACAAAAGAGATTTTTCTTACTCTTTTAAAAAATTGAATCTATTATTCATTTTGAAGACACAACCTCTAGGAGAAGAAATCGGTTCTTGACGGGCTGAGTTTTTCAGTGCAGTTCTGACATCTTTCTGCCATTTTTGTGATTTAAATTGACTGGATTCATTTTGGAGCGTTTGGGAAGGGTCATAGTGTAGAATTTGAAGCAAACTTGTCGAAGTGTGGCAACTTGGAAGATACTCTATTAATAGAAAAATGAAAATGTATGTACCAATGACATTTAAATGTGTTGATTACATCTCCCACATTGAACTTAGAATGGTTTTGCATTATTCAGATATGCTATATGGTGCTATATCTGCATGGGATAACACATAATAGTGTGGTGTGGTAGAATGCTTTTATTTGGATGAGTGAGTTACGGACATCATTCCAAAGCGGTGTCATTAAAAATTTCATATCACACTGTGCCATCATGTGGTTTTAGTTTTTGTTTTATAGGCCACAGTTTTTACAGTGGGATTTCTTATTTCTGTTCACTGAATGGATCAGCTCTCCCTGGAGTGTTGGACACCTCCCCCTCACTTATAATTGCGCTTTCCCTTTTCTCCACAGTTTCCCAATATCCCTGTGACAACTCCTGTAATTGCTCACATGGAGAAATAATACACTATTTTATTCTGCCCCTCTCAGGTTCATACATCTTGCCTGCCCATCAGTATGGTATGAGAGTCTTCCAGTTGTAAGCAATGAGTCTAGCATCTGTCAGTGCATTCTCTTATCCCCTTTCTCCCTGTATTTGTTTGTTGTTTATGTGTAGTATGCTATGTAGGCAAGCAAAGTATTTTATCTGCATTTTAATACAGCTTGGCAGCAAGTAAAATGGTAATAGCTGATACATTTACTTTTTCAATTAGTCCCAGAGGTAAGCTGAGAGCTGATCATATGCAAAGGACCTATGACCAGAACAAGCCTGGCACACACACATTCCTTCCTCGTTATTTTATATGAAAGAATGAATTGATTACCTACCTTTGTTGTAAATTATTTCATTTTATAATAAAGGTTTTAATTAACAAAAGGAAGTGTAAGCCTAATCATTTTCCCTCCAAGCTCCAAATCCCATTGATGTCTAAATAGGAAGCCACCTGCTTGCTTGGTCCAGTGAGTAAAATGAAGTACAACTGATGTGTTACATCTAATAAGAAAGACTCTATTCTAGGCACATATGATTCAGAAAATACATTTAAAAACAAAATCTGCTTGAAACAGTGCTTAAACAAATACATGCTTGAGAGAGACAAAATGTTTGCTATGGCTAGTAAAGCCCTGCTTGCATAAGATTAGTATCATATTTGAACTCTGGATTGGCTAGGATTGTTTTCTGACCTGTACAGACAGGGCTTTTTGGGTGGGGGGGAGGG